ATGGGAATAGAGGTTGACAAACCTCAAGACAGAAATTGGCAGCAGACTAATGCAACAACATAGTCACCAATGGCCTCAACAGCAACATAAAACAAATGCAGAAATCTCATATTTTAAACAAACAAGCAGCTTACAAACTCATCAAACATGGATCCTAAACACACTGAAATCCTGATGAAGATATAGGTTGGCAAACCTTTAAGGCAAAATTGGACAACAAACACAGGGAAATGTCTTTCAAAAGCAAACATGATTAGTTGATATGAACAAATAAATCCCTGGCCTATGATGCTAACAAACAGAATTATGGCAGATTTACAATACACAGACAGTTATCCACTGCTAGAATTCCACAAACAAAGATGTCAACATGAACAGACCCAGACATGGTCTTCTTCTACATCAAACATAAGACATAGAATTTAGTAAGGTTCTGATGGGAAAATAAGTTGGTCTAATCTTTAACAAAACTTGACCAGTGAAATAAGTACTAAGGTAACCTCAATGAAACTTAAACCCCCATCTATTATGACTACAACAAAAAAAACCCTTTTCACTAGAGCATACTAGCAGAATAATGGTTAATCACCCCATCTGTTATGACTACACCTGAATTTCTCAACCTAGACTGAAAATCCCCTACCTAAAGCACCAACATGTCAATAATGGTCAATGAGCACAACACCAACCAAACTAAGATCAGTTATTCACAACAAAGTCACCACCTATACATTGTCAAAGTCCAACACGACTATCAAGCTAAAACTCAAAGCCTAAAGTCACAAACTGAGGATACTAAACTAGAACTTAAGCAGTACCACATTCTGAGATTACAATGCCAAGTCAAACTAGTGTATGCTTAAACAAAAGGTTAATAACTCCAAGCAAGTCATCACAAGTTGACAAATTCCAACTCAAAACAGTTTTGGTGGACAACAACAAAACATAAACATGACATAACAATGTCAACCCTAAAACTCATCATCTGTTTCAACAGCAAGTAGAAAATCAAGGTGACAACCAAATCTAAGCCACAACTGTTCCATTCATACATGGTAGAATAGTCACCTTTGTGAAATTGTTAATATGGAAAAAATGCTTGACAACATAGTTCAAACTCAACATAGCAATATCATAACATACCAACTGTTTCAACAGCAAAACCTACCAAAATGGCAACATATTCATATTGCCTTAATATCAGTTATCTATCTAAAACTAACACCTAGCATGAGGGACAAGTTCTAACAGCAATAGCCATGAGTTGATAAAATCAAACTTCAAAACAGTTTTGGACAGCATAGTTGTAAGTTCAAACATGACAATGTTAACATACATTCAAGCCTGCTTCAAATGAGAATAACTAATCCATGATAGCAAACATGACAAAATAGATGCAAACTTCACATGGCAACAACAAGATCAATCACATTCTTTCATGAGTTACAACTCATCAAGCAAATATAGATCAAATTCCACATATGATGCATATCAATGAGAGGGTATGGAATCACATACCTCTTGTAGACTTTCCAAAGTAAGCTAGCTGCTGGATATCCCACCTTTGAAGCAAGCATTGAGTTTTCTTCCTTTTGGAGCGACAAGTGATCTTTTGGGACAGATATAGCAAATGAAGTTTCAGTTGCTTTTTAAGGTTTTAGACAGTTGATATAACATAAATGGAAGGTGTTCAAAGTGCCCAAGTGGTTCAAACTGATCTAGGCAGTGAGTTCCTCCATATTATGCATAAAAGTCAAATCAAAGAGTGTGAGAAGTTGACTTTTGGTTTTGTGATGTTTTTGGTGAAACTAATGGTTGGAACACCTTTTAATAATGATTTTGAGGTTGCGTGGATGATTTTTATGGTGGTTGAATGATTGGAAAGGATGCTGGTATGAAGTTTGCACAAGGCAGTTTTTTAGTGGTTTTGGAGGATTTCTTTACTTTCAAGCAAAGAGGGGAAGAGGATGAGAGTTTTGTTTTTTCTGAGGTTTAGAGTGCTTTGGTGTGATCTGAAGAGTGGGAGCTTCCTTTTTATAGGCCAAGGAAAGTTGGGGCAGAATTGTCATTTGGAATTGCAAGCTTGCATTTTGGCGGGAAACCTTAATATTTCAAAAAGTGATTTTATGCCTGCTGGTTTAAGGTTAACTCCAACAGTTAATGCCCTCCATACCAGCTATTCTTAAGCTGGCTGTGCTGTCAAAAATAGGGATGCTGAGACAAGTCATGGCTGCAGCAAAATCAAAGCTTCTTACACATCTACTTTTGTGCTTTATAATAATAAACAAAAGGATTATGGTGAGATTTTTAGTTTTGCGTTGGTTCTCCCCACATCTGGTTCAAACCTAATCTGAACACACCATACCAGATATGTCTTTATGGTTGGAAATGAAACATATAGTTGGAAATCAAATTTATGTTGAATTTTGAAAAGTTGACAAACTAGTGCTCAGGCCCAACTTTCTCCATTCGAAACTCTCAACTCACAAGGGCTATGGAAGAGTTCTAGCACTTTTTAGAAAGCCCTCATGGAGCTCTACAACTTTCATGTTTTTGAAATTTTCAAATTTCAAGTGGAACTAGGTCAAAAATCCCCTCAAAGTTGGCTGAAAATATGCCTAAAAAGGCCAGAAACTTAGAAATTTTCTAAGTGTTTTCCCCTCTTGTAATGATTTTGATCATAACTCCAAATATAATCATTTTCTGACCATGGACCACTGTGAGACTTTTGTAGGACTTGTCAAGACCTTTCCAACAAGCTTTGAACCAACTCAATTGGATGTGTGGTTAGGGAGTTATGGTCTTGCCCCTTTCAGAACCCTAATTTCTTGATTTCTCGATTACTCCTCAATCCTTGATCCAATGGTCATGAAACTTCAGGGGTAGGTGTAATATAACATTAGGACCATTTTGTATTCACACTTTGAGGTTAAATTCCTTATGGTTAAGGAGCTGACTTTTCGATCAATCGAACGATCGATCGATGACTACCGAGTCGACTGTTCATGTTCTGGGTCTTCTGAGACCTTGAAACTTCTTAAGTGGACTTCACTAAGCCATGTGAGCTTCATGGACCATAATTACATCATTGGAACACCTTTCAAATCAAAAGTCAAACTATAGTTGACTTTTCCTAATTGAAAACCCTAATCGGGGATCCTGCACTGCATTGTTCTTGATCTTTGGGTGACAACCTCAAATTGGATTTATATTTGACCCAATGGAGCACCTTTGATGGTGTGGGAAATTTTTCATGGAGAATCAATCCAATACATTGACTGATTAAGTCATCGAAACCTCGATTCTTGACGGTACGGAACCCTAATTCACTTGTATCTTAACAAAGACAAACTTGAAATAGGTTATGGTTAGATAATCAAGTAAAAATGATTCTAGAATGATGATGAAGATCTAAGGGGTCAAAATTTGAGGTGCAACAGTATTAAGTCAGGAAGAATCACTGAGTTCTCCAAAGGTGGTAAAAGTTAAGAACATGAGTTTAGAAGATCATAAAGAAGAAGACTTGGATGATTTGATGTCAAATCATGATGAAATATGAAAATACCATACTCTCTTTGGCGAACATATTGACCTCAATCTTTGAGTGGGTAAAAATACCAATCAAATGTGAACAAGCATGTGATTTTATCCTCGACATTGATGATCATTTGACTATTTCAACATTGTGTTCTGACCATTAATCCATTCACTATACATCACAATGTTGTCTCAATAAAAAATTTTGATTTTGAAACATGCATGGACATTGCATTAAAATTACCATCTTGAAGGATCAATTTTATCTTCAAATTAGCACTTAACACCAAGGAAGTTCCAACAATGTACAATCACTTGTGAAACTTGATCATTCATAAGTGGTCATATCAGGGGAAAACGTCTTCAAGATTTAAACCATTGGGGCAAGTCATCTGAAGACCCAACCGATCGGAACAAGATAAGTTGCATAATCATGTATGCATTGATCTACCATCAACCCATGCATCTAATCTTATATGCACAACACAACATATTCAATCATAAGGCATAACATGAACCACTGTCAATACTCACTCGAATATCAAAGACCATTCATCATCGACACCAATCCTCCAATACTTTTCTCCTCAATGAACCTCTTTAGTAAACTTCCCCAGTGAATCTCTTAATGTGTCTTATGTCGATCTACAGATCAACCCATTGGTTGAAGATGATCATTTATTTTCCTAATGATCTACGAATCAACCCATTGGTCTATGAATCAGCCCATTGGTTGAAGACGACTATTTATTTTCCTATCAGTCTACGGATCAGCCCATTGGTTAAAGATGACTATTTATTTTCTTATCGGTCTACAAATCATCCCATTGGTTAAAGACAACCATTTATTTTCTTGTTGGTATACAGATCAACCCATTGGTTAAAGACAACCATTTATTTTCTTGTCGGTCTATAGATCAACCCTTTGGTTAAAGATGGCCATTTATTTTCCTATCGGTCTACGGATCAATCTATTGGTTGAAGAAGATCTTTTAATGTCTTGTCGTTTCTTTTCTTTGAATTCATCAAAGGACATAATTTAGGTCCTTAATATTTAATTACCAATCACAAAGATTATATACCAAATTTTACCTGTTTATAGAATAGAATCAAACTATCATATAAAACAAAATTAGGAAAAAATTAAGAAAATAACACAAAGTATCTGATGATTGCAAAGATGATTATAAATCCTGGAAAATCAAACATATCTTAAAAACAAAGATTACAATATTGAAACAAACAATGACCAATACCAACTGTCAAACCAAATGAAACAAATAATAAAATCAAATAATGACGGGGAAAAGACTCCTTATTATACTAAAAAAAAACTATTTCAAAGATTCATATCCTCTTCCATTGTATAGAAGTCATATTTTTATGATAAATATTTTGTAAAACACTACTACCCTTTGGAAGAGAATTTGAAACTGTTATTTAATGAAATAATGAAGTAGAAATTAAAATCCATTTGTGCCATCGTTAATAAATGGAAATTGAAACATGGAAAAATCCATAGGCCATTGTGGGAAATTAAGTGGCATGTCATCAGCAATGTTGGTCTCAATTCCTTGGACAAACTGTCCCATATTTGCTAGTTGTTCATTTCCTCCATTCACCAGCCCTTGCACATGACCAATATTTTCATGCACCTCTCTTCCATTCATAACTTCAGCTCCATTTCTGACCAACCCTTGTTCATTTCCTCCACTCACCAGCCCTTGGACCTCATTCGGCAGTCCTTTCATCGTTTGATCGATTTCCTTCAGATTTTCATCAATAAAAGAAGACAAATCATTGAGATCATGTTTGCTCATTAAATTCATTGCATTAAATTCACCACTTTGAATATAATGATGAATGATATTGGTCATTTCCTTCTTCCTTGTTTCCTCCCTTTGTTTCTTCAACTGCTCGTAGATTTTCGCTATGCTTTGCCTCAAGAAAGCTTCTTGATCCACCATCTTTTTGCTTCGTTCAACTTCAGGCAAACTCCTGAATTTAAACAACACATTTCTGACTCCTGCATCAGATGGCCAAACTTCTGGTTGAGGATTGTTTTTGTCATAAATTATTGCGCATGCTTCTATCCCACAAAGGGTGCTGATTTCATTAACCTTTTTCATTATACCTATTAAAAATCATACATGGCTAGAACCATTATAATAATACATAATCAAAGAAAAAATGGAAAATTTACCAAATTAATGCTAATGCATGATACTATACAATTTTAAAATAATAATTTATTAAGAGATACATAAAATAATAATAAAAAATAGAAACAGTTAGTAAATGATAAACCTAAGAATTTTTAAATTGATTATCATTATAGAATAGTAAATATATACATTTCGGTTCTAGTTCAATGCAACTTATAATTTTATGCTATTGAGTTCAAATCTTTCCAAAGGATGTAAAATGCCAATAGTAACACTTTGATTGGTAACAAACATCCCTTTTTTTCAATATTTTTTTGTTATAATTTCATAAATAAAAATGCTAATAATATATACATGCAATATTGAAATAAAGGAGAGAATAATCTTTAACCTGATTTCCTCTTTCTGAATGTTTCCCTCCTCTTCGAGTTACAAGTTATGTATGCAAGTTTGACCTTCTTTCTCGCCATGGCAGTGATGACAAGAAAACAAAAAAGATAAGAAGAAAATTATGCAAATGATGTTTGTTATGTTTTTCCTATAACCCCATTGCACTACTTATATAGACAAATTTGAGATACAGCTAGTTTGAATTAAAAGTAAGTGTAATAAATATTTATGATTCTATTTAATAAGTTAATTTTGCTAAAGAGAATATTTATAATTTGATATACTTTATAAAGTTAAACAAATAATATTATATGTTGAATATTGAATAAAAATAACTAGGATATAATACAACTGTAAATTACTTATACTAAAGATATATACATTAAATGTTTATTTATATATTGTTATATAATATACATTTTAAATCACCAAAAGAGATTTACTATCATTTTTTTCAACTATAAAAAAGATTCTCCACTTTTTTAAAGAAATTGAATTTACTATCACTTTAAAAAAAAAAAATCTTTTATATAATCATTTAATTATTGGTTGTTGCTTTCTAGATGTTTGGTTATTTTCTTCTAACCTGTGTTAGGATATTGTTGTGCCTCTTAGTTTTTTTTAAATTATATATATATATATATATATATATATATATATATATATATATATATATATATATATATATATATATATATATATATATATATATATATATATATATATATATATATATATATATATATATATATATATATATATATATATATATATATATATATATATATATATATATATATATATATATATATATATATATATATATACTTCAATTATACTTTATAATTTGATATCTATTTTAATTTAAAAATAAAATCACATTTAAATATTTATAATTATAAATTTTGTTTATAACATTTAATAATTTTAAATAACAATTTTTTTTAAAATTAAAATTTAAAAATATTTTGGAATTTGACCAAATCGATTAATTCATACTTTTCATCAATTTCATATGTTTTTGTGAAATTTTTTTCTATATAATGTATCAATCAATATTAGATGTACAATGTTAAATAAAATGAACATCATAAACTTTAAAATTTTCAAATGTTAAAAAATATATGTCATAAAGTGTAATAATATTTTAAAAGTTTAAAAATAATTAATATGGTAAAACCAACTAATTAATATTTTTAGATATCTTATAAAAAGTAATTATTTTTGTATGTGAAGATAATTAGAAAAGTTTATGAAAATTCCATAATAAATTAATCATCTTAGCTACACAACAAATGAAACGGTGGGTAGAGATAACATAAACTTATGGAAATTTTGTATGTCATTGGTATATATATCATATACTTGTAGAATACTTAAATCCGTCTGTATAAATCAGTTGGTATAGATACTTTATAATCACTTTGGTGCCTTTCCATTATATATTTCCTTTCAAGACCAAAATGTTAAACAAATGAGTAATGATAAATTATCATTAATTATAGAGACACTAATGACAATTTTACAACTGTTCCAATTGGATTTTAACTTAGTTGTTTAAAGTTTGTGTAATGGTACGAGTCTATAGCAAAATATAAAGTTGTTTAAACCATAGGATCTCAGGTATCTGCCATTATGGATGTTATGAGTATCCATAGACACCAGTTGAATAAATATATACTTGTGTCTATTTTATATCTATCTGGATATTCATTAGACGGATATAATCTACGTATATCTTTTAATATTTACGAATATTCATATCTACATAAAAATATTTCAAATCAAAACATAATAATAAAAATAATAAATCACATTTATTTTATTATTTTATTTTTCATATAATTATACTAGTTTCAACAAATTAATAACAATAGTAGTAATAGTTTAATATTCAACAAAATAATACTAATAATAATAAAAAATTAATTTAATTACAATTTTGATCTGTTTATTAACAAAATAATAATGATTCACGAAATTGATCTCATATTTTAAATTTAAATAGTTTTGAACGTATTTAAAATTAACGATATTTCTTTTTTTTAAATGATAAATTTCTTGTAAAACAAGATATTATAAAATTTTATAGATAAAAAATATGTTAAAAATTTAATATCTCATCGATTTTCTACAGAAAAAAAAAGAGATCGAGGGAGATCAAAACTATTTGAATTTAAAATAGGAGAATTAATTTTGTAAATTAGATAAAATTGAAGGATCAAAACTATAATTTAACATAAAAATTTATATTTAAATAATAATAATAATAACATTAATAATAAAAAATAAAAAATATATAACAATAATAATAATAATAATAATAATAATAATAATAATAATAGTTTTAGAGTCAACAAAGTAATTTTAAAAAATATATACAGAAACGAATACTCCAGATACGTGTCCCATCAAATCCATATCCATATTTGTGAATTAAGATGTAATTAAATTCCATTTAAGTTTACCCATAGATATCCATTGAGTCAACAAACTCGAACTCATGATAGGATTTGGATCCTCTCCTTTTTAATATATCATGTCATCTCTCATGTATCTAATCTAACGGTTCAGAATTTATAATGAATAATTAAATAAAAAAAGTCATTTAATAGGAGAGAGAAATGGATAAGTAATTTGTCTTTGTTATCTTTGTTATTTTTATTTAATTATTCATTATAAATTCTGAACCGTTAGATTATAAACATGAGAGATGACCTGATATATAAAAAAGGAGAGGATCCAAATCCCTCATGATACTGACGGGTTTAACCCATAGTTATACACGGTTACCCAAAAATAGTGACGAATCTCAAAAGTGATTCGACGGGGCCAAATTTATAAATAATAGTTCTCCATAAAAAAATATAACTGAAAGACGAAAAATCTATTATATATATTTAATTGTAATTAATATTAATTTTTATATATTAGTTTGTATATATATTACGAGAAAAACATATTTCAATGACATGATTTTGTGACGTGATAAACATGTGGCAAAAAAAAAGTTGTTGCATTATGTTTATCACGTTTCTACATATTTTAAATATAAAAAAATTAAAAGTTAGATTATCACGTTGAGAAAGTTTGAAAATTAAAAAAACTATTGTGACGTGAGAAACACATCGCGACATTCATTTTTATGATATTTTAAAAAAAAGACGTCAGATTTTAAATGGGGGAAGTTTGAAATTTTCAAATATTTATTTGTGGCAAATAGCGTTTGAAATAGGTTGGGCCGAGTTAGCTTTTGCCAAGCCTGAGTCTGATCTGTTAAAAAATTCAAAGTCTAAGTATGGCATATAAGTCTATCATAGACTTATTTTTAGGCCTAAGACTAGTCTTTTCGAAGGCTTGATTAGCCTAGTAGCCTATTTAAAAACCTACTTCATTTGAACGTGTGTAAATAAGAAATTCAACTAATGTTAAATAGACTAACAAATTAAAAGATCATTGAGACTAAATGTTTGTTTTTATTGTCTCATTCAAGTTTACCTATTAGCATAAGGTTGGTGATACTAATCGTTGAAGAGAACTTATAGAAAAAAAAAACTTATGACAACAACTTATGACATTGTTTGTAATGTTTTTTCAACTGATTTTCATAATTTGTTCAAAATAACTAAGTTTTTTAATTCAAAGTACAAAATACAATATTATAATAATAATAATAATAATAAATGTATTGAATTTTTTATAAATAGGCCGGTCTGGTATGCTTAAAAGATTTTTCTTTCGGCCTGTGTCTTTAGTTAAATAGACTTATAAAAAAGCCTAGACCTTTTCTATTTAAAAAAAAACCTAGCCTGGTCTGAACATAGGTAGGCTAGGTTGTAGGCTACTGTTAGTTGGTCTGACCTATTCCCACCCCTAGTGGCGAGTAAAACACGTCGCACACAACATTTAAAAAATCAAAAAATTTAGAGGAAAAGTTTGATTGGAAGAATTGATAAGGTTTTAGGTTGACAGTTAGCTTTTAGTAGGGACACGTTATTCACGTCATAACGCTTATGATTGTTTTGATTGTGTAGAGTTTTCGACGTGTTATTAACGTCGACACTCAACGGATACATTTTATTTGTGATGTGATTAACATGACGTTGATGTGAATATTTAGTGACCAGGACCCTTCCCATAGATTTCACGTTATTAGTATCTCTTGTTTTCGTCTCTTCCTTTCCAGCTTCTATCTTCTTCTAATTTAATCCATTTCTTCCACCTTCTTGGAAATTAAAATCCCATTTGATTTTAGATCTCCATCTTCTTTCAATTTTAGTTAAAGGTATTATATTTAATTTTTTATGTTGATTTTTTTTTAGGTTGACTTTCTTGTTGTTTTTCATTTTTTTAATTGTTGATTTGTTTTTTTCTCAAGATTCAAGAGCTTTATCAAAACTCAAGTAGATTGTTCAAGATTCATTGTTTCTTCACTAAGGTATTTATTTATTTTTTCATATTTTAATATATAAAATAATTGAATTGTTGGATGTTGTTGTAAAATATTTTTTTAGTTGTTTTTAATTTTTAATATATTTTTAAATACATTATTAATCCAAAAATATATTTTAATTATAAAATATATTAAATATAAAAATTTTATTTTGAAAATATAAAATATTAAGTTAATTAAAATGAAAGTATGATTAATTTTTATAATATATTACTAAAACAAAATATATGAATATTTTAAAAATATAATATATTAAATTTTTATTAAAATTAAAATATATTATTCTCTAAAAATAAAATATATTATTTTTTTATTAAAAACAGAATATAGATTTAGTAAAAATATAATTTTTTATTTTTTTATTTTTATTAGGAACAGAACATATTATATATTTTTTAAAACAGAATATCCATATATACATACCAATATATATATATATATATATATATATATATATATATATATATATATATATATATATATATATATATATATATATATATATATATATATATATATATATATATATATATATATATATATATATATATATATATATATATATATATATATATATATATATATATATATATATATATATATATATATATATATATATATATATAT